TTCCTTATGAAACTTATGAGACAATCGATTGAAACAGAGTTTAACACACTTCACTACGTATAAATACTAGGACTTAACCATAACACACTTGATATTAAAACACAGAAAAAATAAATAGTAACATGGCAGTATAACATTAATATCTCAGCCTACCTTAAATGGCTGAAAACTAATAGCGTACGTTAGTACGGAACGTAATGCATGCCATAAAAAAAAGAAGTACGGAACGTAAAGCTGAGATGACATAAGGTTGACATTGACATATCATGCCACTGTCACTTGATTTAATTGAATAAACATTATTTCAGATTTAGTTTACCTTGCATTTGAATTTAAAAGTTAAGATAAAGAAATACTAAACAAGTAGAGCAAGTGAAGCTACCCACTTATTACGGAAAATACAAATAAGGTAGCTTAAGCAGCAAGCACAACAAAACAACCGAAGACATCACAGTTTAGTTAATTTTTTTTTCAAAAGAAACAAAGAGGTGGAAACCACTTTGTAAAAACTCACTTTTTAACAGCTTTTACGTTACGTTTCGACCATGTATGCGCCAGCGACAGTTGGGGCGCTGTCAGATCAACGACGGGCTCATTGGTCACCGGAACTTCCGCAATCTTTGTGCTGGGAAACTGGTTCATAGCCGCAGTTAGTTCGTCGTTGCAGGAGATCCGTAGACGGTCGCCATCCGGTGTTTTAATGAAAACATTCCCATCCATGGTCCACACACTGGAAATTCCAAAATGATTTCGTGCGGAGTAGAACAGGGTTTGACGAGTCTTGATGAGAAATGCTCTCATAACAAGTGAGGAGCCTTTGAGTTTGGTCTTGCTTTTCCACACAGAGGACCGGAGTGAATAGTTGGAAAAACGTATTACCACGGGTCTTTAAAGACCCTCAGTTACAGCCCCAAGTCGATAGCACGATTTAATGGAACTTGAATCAACGGAGGCACCCAAATGTTTCTTTAGCAATGTCGCAACAGAAGAACTCAGGTCTTCATCAGGATTTTCCGGTACACCACAGAGAAGGAGATGTTTGTTTCTGTACCGTGCTTCGTGCTGGTCGAGGGATTTTAATATTTCACCTATTTGTTGCCTGAGAAGTGAAAGAATACTCCAAACCAGCTCTTTGAACGACTTGAATTCATCCTGAATCTGAGGCACCTTTTCCTTATCTGATGACGACTTCAGCTGTGATTCAAACTGCTGCATTCTTTGCATCAAAGTGATTTCCAGTGATTTCTGTGTTTCTAGTACTGCTGCAACACTGCTCATTGTGAAATGTAGAATTTAAATTTGTGCAAACAACAAAAAGTGATGTGATGGCAGGATATGCTGGTCAGTTCCTCAGATTGACATTACACAATGCAGCCTACAATGTATGAGGCAACCAGAGGTAAATACTAACTAGTTGAAGTGAAATTTATGAAAAGTACTATGTAAAAATATTTTTAAATCAAATTAACATATAGAAGCAATGTTGCCTTATTTCACACCTACCGCCAAAAAAAGTTTTATTGTCTATGTATGAATTTATTACTTAATTTAGTTAATAAAGTACTTTATTTAAAATTCTTTTTTGTAATTTTGAGTTTATTTATTTGACCCTAACTACCGTAAACTACCACCGGTTCCGAAATTGGGAGATCTTTCTGAGAAAAACCGGCAAAACAAACTCAGGGAGGCTTTCTATCTCCTTCTTATGTTAAATTATGCAAACAAAAAGAACTAATAGTATCTGTTGGTCTGGCAGTGTGTGCTCGGGGTTGGGATTTTATCTCCTGTATAATGGGGAACCTGGTGGTAAAAGTGGTGGTAAAGCTGGTGGTATATACCAACCATCTTCCCTATTGAAATTTGGTTATTTTTTAATCTCAATAGACTCGCGTATCATTCTAGGAATGAATCGTTGCTCAGTTGCAAGGATCTGTGATTTATCAAATCTAATGTAATGGTTTGGTCCCCCTAATGCATGTTCACACACTGCAGACTTATTTTCGCGCCTATGTTTCATATCTGCGATATGTTTTTTTACCCGAGTCCCTATACTCCTCTTTGTTTGCCCGATGTAGGAGAGCCCAGACTTGTCGGTCGACTGTGCTAGGTTTAGCGCGACTGTGACGGCGACATGGTACATTCCGATTATTATCCTTCAGTACTCGCTCGACATGCTGAAGTTCAGCTGCCAGGTGTTGTTTGTCACAGACACCCCGTGCTCTCTGAAACAAAGAGTTTCCTACGGCAGTTAATTGTTTCGGGTGATGGTGTGAGTCACCATTGAGGAACCTATCAGTATGAGTTACTTTACGATACACAGTATGGCTTAAACTTTGGTATATCTTAATATATATAAATCTCTTGTCACAATGTTTGTCCTCAATGGACTCCTAAACCACTGAACCGATTATAATAAAATTCGCACACCATGTGCAGTTCGATCCAACTTGAGAGATAGGATAGTTTAAATCTCAAATTATAGTCGCAATTTTAATTTATTGCAAATTATTACTTTTGGGCGGTACGAAGTTCGCCGAGTCAGCTAGTATACCTATATATACCTAACGAGGTCCATGACAATATCGGCGGCTGTCTTAATGGATGTCTTGAGTGACTCCAAATTGGGATGAAGCTTTAAACACATCTTTTCCTTCAAGTGTTGCCATATCTTGTATATCTAACGGACTCAAATCTGGACTGGAGGAGGGCCAGTTTTCGTGCCGAATGGAGTCGATTTCACGCGCCGCCAGCCAGTCTTGTGTGCTCTTCGCTCTATGAGCTGGCGCCGAATCTTGTTGGAATACCCAGTGCCTGTTATTGAACATGGTATGGGAAACAGGTTCCACAAGGTTCGTCAGGACTGTATTTTGATACACAACTGCATTCGTTATTACACTTTTCTCACAAAAATGTACCTCTGTTAAGCCCCAATAAGAAACTCCCAACTATACCATGAGCGAGGATGGAATGGATGGTTGCTCGCTTCTTCACTCTTGTGTGCGTACACCTTATAATTTTGTTTGTTGTAGCTCTCTTCTACGGTAAAATTTTTTTCATCCGAAAAAAGAATTTCCCGATATTTTTCCCGCGTACCGCTTCAACAAAGCGCGGCATCTCTTCAGTCTCAGGTCCATTAGATGAGCATTCAAACGATGTCCTGTTTTTCTTCGATATGCCCGAAGCCCTAAGTCTTCATTTAACACCCTTTTCATGGTGGTTCTGCTTAACCCCATCTGAAGGGCCAACAGTTTCTGCTTACGTTTGGGATTTCTTTGAATTCGCGCCTTCACAGCTTTTATCACTGCTGGAGTCCTAACAGACCGAGGGCGACCACTTTTTGACCTGTCATCTACACTAGAGTCTTTATTGTATCGTTTGATGGTACGATAAACGAATCTTTTGATTATAATGATATTTTTCAGTATGTCAAAAGTTGAATTAGCGCGTAACCGCAACGGTCTTCTTTAAGAGTCCACTCCATATTTAAAAATGAGTAATATTCTAAAAAGTATACGTTTTTATTTTCATGAACAATTCGAATTCAATAAACTTTTTTGTGGCTAGCATTCTAAAAGAAAAGTTTTTACTGTGTGACAATACTTATGACCTGACTGTGTATATACATATACTAGAACGGTAGTTAGGGTCAAATAAATGAACTCAAAATTACAAAAATAAAAATACTTTATTAACTAAATTAAGTAATAAATTCACACATAGACAGTAAAACTTTAAAAATCCAACTATGAAATAACCAAACGCTCAATAAAAGTCTTTCGAAGGTAGCTCGACATAATTAAATAAAAAATTGATTCCGACGAAGCAGCCTGTAAAGGCTGCGAAACGTCAATAAATAAATAAAGTTTCGTGCATCAACCCGTGAAAAAATAGTTTTATTTAACAGTTTACGACTACATAATCACTGATTATAATACAAACATTAGATAATTTCAATACATTGTAGTATTATGTCGGTCACGGTCAAAGTCGACCCACAGTGCATACAAAGTGACCTCACTGCCCACTTCTAAGCACATTTGTATTGGTCATAGACGCAAACGCATTTCCATCGAGACAACACGTGCTTACATTGAAACCAAGAAATGTTATACTTAACATTGTCAATTTCTATATTATTCCTAATAACGAACTTAAGTGTCAACAGTGCGGTTAATTCTAAAACTTATACTGAATACAACTCTTGTAATATCACTAAGCTTGCTAAAGAAATCGCTTCTTATGATGCCGTTGTAAAAACTATAATGGATTACGTGGTAGCTGGACCCTACAAAGGGAAGACTTATGAAGAGTGAGTATTGTTGTCGATATAAACCTTCTCTTATGAAATATTCTTTGAGTAAGGTTTCGTGTGTCAGAAAGAGCATAAGACAGGGATTTCATGGAACCCTCATGTTGATTTGATTAGCTTAGGGTATGATATAATGTAATGAGCGTTATCACTTGCTGCAGCATATAATTATGTACTTGGGAAAGCTTTATATTAGATACCTAATAAAAGTAACTTTATGAAATAATTATTAGATGATTACATCAGAATTATATAGGGGAAACTTTTGACAGAAATAAAAATAAAGCTATTTCGTCAGACTATGAAAAATATTTTCTGAGTAAAGTTTATTATATTTGCTGTAAATTTTATAAGTTGAAACAAATATAAGGTGAAATAAACAGAAGACTGTTATTTAATAATACTGTTTAATCAATGAAGCATTATTTTTTCTATTGGTATAACTAAAATAAGATCGTTCTTTGCGATTTGTATTAAAACTTTACTAATCTAAGTAATTATTTCAACTAAGCCAGCTTAGTTGAATAAAATTATTCTTACGTTAGAATTAACAATATGAAACAGACACCAGCTTTCGACATTTCATTTGATATCATTCGATATCAGTTTATCAGTGCCAATATATTTCAAGATAACGAAAACGGCTCTCGATGACCTATTACGCCGTGACAGGCATTACCTACCTGCCTGTCAAGTCAAGGGCCTCTCTAACAAATGAAAATCGACACCGAGATAACTGAAGATTCCTCTCAATGTTTTTCTGATAAACCAACGTTAGGTATAGATCCATATAGAAGCATTAATAATAATAAATGGGAAAAATAATTCTAGTTTGCTTTTGACACTCAATCAGTATGATTCTGTCGTTGTCATTCGCATTTTTTGCTACCACACTTTTTGTTAGTGCCAATGTCATTCCTAAAAATAGTGAAGAATGTAGAACCTTGTTAGGGGATCACTTAATTGAAGAAATAGCTGGATACTCTAAAATAAGAGACGTAATATTAAATTATGTTTTAGAAGGCGATTTTACAAGTAAAACCTATGATGAGTAAGTGATTGCCTTTGTTCAGTGTGATATTAATTAATCTTCCTGTGGAATACAGAACGCATTTCATTCATTTAGTGTATCTAATAAATTAGTGGTTGTGAACTAAAACCCCTCCGATTATCACTAATTTGTATTTCAAATTGCATGATATATATTTTTCAATTTAAGTAAAAGTTAATTTTATTTATTTTATAAATTTAATTTAATTTATAAAATAAATAAAATTTAATTAATGACATTGCGTAACAAGTCTAATCCTGGACTGGTTGGTTATTTACTTTTTTGTTTATAATTAGAAAAAAGTTCAAGGATAAAAATTGTGCAGGTATATTATGTTGAATAATACCTCAGTAACAAAATAAACGGGAGTGAAGTTTCATTAGCCTTTCCTTTCGATCATAAAATTTATATACAGTTCGAAACACCCCGAAACCACGAAAAAAAATTCAAATAATCTAACTTCTTATCAAATTCCTGACAACATTCACTGTTGTTTACCCGATTTCAAGGAATCTTCCTAACCCATAATTATGGGTTAAGAAGATTATAATCAAACAAGATGGAACAATCTTAATTGTGAGAACAGCGAAAACAACTTTTAGGTCACTGTTTAAGGCCAAACTTCACAGAAATCGCGCCCGTGGTATTAAATCGCCGCATAGAGTTAAAACTTAAATAATATATTTATTTACACCCATGCCTTAAAACCTCTATCAAAGGTCATAAAACAGCTTATTGCCATCATTAAAATCTAATGTACTTTAATAAACAAACTACAAAACTTTATAATTATACTCCTTCGCTTTTTCGATCCTTTCCGTGCAAAGGGTTTACTCATTAGGTAGTTACAATTTTTCACTGATCGATGCGTGTTATTATGAATTGTCAGAAAAAGAACATTGTCATCAAGCGCGTTTCACTACCACGGCGCTGAAACTTTTCACGAATTTTAAGTTGATACTATACTCACCGTGATAAACCTACATTCGTGTTGCATAAATAACAGCTATTGTTATGATCTTTGATTAAAACAAATCAACATAGAAAAAAACATGTATGACTCAAGCACGCATTGCAAAAAAAATATTGTAAGGAACATAACAATAATACTTACAAACAGTATATCACTTATATGTATGTTCAATGTTATACTTATGTCTAAAATACATATTTAAATATAATAGTGAACTTTGTATTTCCAGCCAGTTGATTAAAAATTAAACAGTTTGAAGTGGCTTGATGTACTCTTGAAAATATTCACTCAGACAGCGCATGTGCAAGAGCACTCAAAACGGTACAGTACTGCTTTTTTAGGATTCCGTAGTCCTGACAAAGATCCCTTCTAGTTCCGTCATGTCCGTCTGTCTGTCCGTCCCCGGTTATGCTTGGAGGCTGCTAGCACTATAGAGCTGTAATTATGTGGAGATATGTATATCAATCACGCCGCAAAATAGTAGAATAATATTTTGAACAATATTTTTTTAGAGTTGCTCCCATATATATATATATATATATATATAATATTTTTATATAAAATTATTATTTAAAAAAACGGTAAAAATAATTTGTACTCTTTTGTCAAACGATTTACAATTATGTACACTACATGTCGTACAATTTTGGAGTCTAACGGAGACAGATATATACCCTCCATATAAATTTGATCCGTGTCCTTTAGTGAATCACACGCTATGGAAGCAATATAGCGTGTTTGTTGTTTTGTAATTAACATGAAGTTTAAGAAAAAGAGAAGACATTCTGAAAGAGAAAACTGGGTCCATTCCTTTATACCGGATTGACTATAATATATATTTGTATTCTTGAGTTTTTTTTTTAATATGTTTTCACTATAATATTGAATAAAACAATGTTTCACGACCTCTCTGAAAGATAATTTAAATATAGTTTAAGCGTAAAGCGTTGCAAAACATACGCACTACTTATTTCAAGTTGATTTAATCACTGAAATCACATAGAATATTAGACTCCAAAGACATGTCGCTAAGCCACAATAAAAAAAGTGATAACTTAATTTTAAGTTTTTAATTCCAGGCTTAGACATCCCTTTTCAATTATTTGATAAATCCGATAAAATTATTTTATTTGCATTTCTGATGATGAAATCTATAAACGCTAAAGAATTCCTTCAACGAATATTTCGCTATTGTCCTTTCGGTCGTGATACTCTTTTTTTGATGTATCATATCGTCGTATCCCACGAAAACTGCCCCTATGATCATAAGGTCTTTTTTCTTTTATTTCTTTTTTACATTCTACATTAATTTAGGCATCTTTTAGTCTAATAACTGTATAATAAAGTTTAAAACTTTTCTTGATATTTCAATTAATTGTAAAGCCACAATTTCATGACGGGCAAAAAATACCTAAAATATAGACTCTATTGCCGTTAGAGCCATCTTTTAGGGCTGGAACTGTGTGCGTGCGGGGCGGACGGGAGGCGCGAACGCCGCTCGGTCAGTACTCCGCGGACCGCGATTGTGAGTGCATTTATCGTGCGTACTATAGTTTCTGAGGTATTAACCTAATAATGAGATGCTTTTAGTTTATGTAGTTATAATACTTGTAAATCACAGAACAAGGCCCATGTGTTGATTGGGGCTTTTTTCTGCGGAATTTTAAAAATACGAATGTATGGAAAAGAAGAAGCCGTAATGGCGTTAGTGTCTTTATTCTACTTCAAAATATTTGTTTTGACCTAATTAATGAGTTTTGGTTATATAAATTAGGTTAGTTGCTATCTTTTAAATACTAAACGAAAGGCATCTCAGATTACAATGCGTTTTCATCTTATTTATTAAATAAATACACGTCATTCCAACAAAGTAATAAAAAGTCTATAAAGGCTGTTTCGTACCTTCATTTCATAATTCGAGACAAAATTCATACATTTGCGAATGTCCTACACCGCATAAGACTTTACCATCCTGAAGGATTTACCTTTTTTTACAGATGTTACCATCGATATAAGTAATTGTATTGATTCTCCAGTGCCTTCGGGTTGTGAACAAAAGATCAAGTTCTTATTGCATGTTGAAGCAGAAGAATTTTTAGAATTAAACAATAATGATGATTTGCCAGACCTTTTTGTTACTATAGAAGAAGAAACAGAACATAAAAATAAAGAAAAAGACAAAGTACAAGAAAAAAGGGTAGAACTACAAAGACAAAATTGTATACCATCATCACCAAAAAATATTTTAGAAGAACCAGAGGTTCTTGAGGATGAAATGATACTATCAGAAGCTGCCAATACAACTATTGATTGCCCTGAGTGAACACTTATCAATTTTGACGTTTGATTTAAATTTTAACAGTCCTACTTTAAGCTTCACGATTCCATCTCCATTATAGTCCACTATTTCTTCCCCGGTTGGTTTTCCTTTAGATTGTAGTAACAAACGGCGTTCTGGTAAGGTCGGTACTCGAAATGATACAGAATGGAAAGATCTTAAAAGAAAAGCACTCAAAAATCTTGAAATCTTGTCTGTCACTCCTTTGATATATGGCAAAAATACTGGTTGCTTTCCTACTTTGTGTGTCAGGTGCCTCAACAAAACAAGATTTCGAACATACTTAATAAGTACTGACTGAATACTGTCTTCACTCCTTTATAAAAGCGTCACAGTTTCTACGATCTCCCAAAGACAACTTCCCTTTGGAGAAACCTGGTGTATACAAGATCGACTGCAGGTGTAGTAGTTCGTATATTGGCCAAACGAAGCGGACAATAGCGTGCCAAATAAAAGAACACATAAAAGCAGTCAGAAACAATGATACGCAAAAATCAGCTATCGCGGAATATTTAATCGATTCGGGTCCTAATCACTGGATTGAGCTCCATAATCCACAAATCATCTCGGCAGAACGCCACTACATACCAAGATTGGTCAGGGAAGCGATTAAAATAACCAAACACAAAAATTTCAATCATGAGGATGAGTTTAAATTGTCAAGTGTCTGGAATCCAGCGGTTCGTATGTGCAAAAATCGCAAAAACTGTGAGTATAGTGTGTCGGGAACAGTTGCGAGTGAATAGTGAGAATGTCACCAATGGTAGGTATCGAGCGCAGTAAAAGACGGCGTCGGAGGGTAGACCGATATATCTGCCAATAACATCTACCCGCAATTACTTCAGTTACTCCGTGATCATGGCGCTTGCAACAGTGCCGAAATATCGGAGACTCATAAAAAACAAGGTACATGGTAACAATCCCGTTAATAGCTATAAAGTTTAATATAGAAAGTATAACCCACCGCTTCCTTGAAGTTGGGCACACACAAAATGAAGGGGACAGTGATCATTCAGTTATAGAAGGAGCTTCAAATAGGAAGACTATATATACTCCCGACCACAGGGTAAATCTAATCAGATGGGCTAAAACTAAAGGCGAAGCATACAGAGTCTTTACTTTATGGGAAAAAATTGATTAAAAATGATGACAGAGAAAAGGTAGTATGGAGTAAGATTAAAGAAGTGCATAATACTAAATAAAATGTTAATGTAATAAAATATAAATATGATCTTAATGAAGAATATGAAACAATAACAACATTAAAAAAAAGTAGAAGAGGAAAGAAAATAATATCGGATCCAGAAGTCCAACTTGCCAATACGACTCCTATTAAAGTTAAATATGATAAATACAAAGACTTAGTGACTATGTGTGACTCAAAAATAATTCCTGATGAATTTCATTAATTTTTCCGAGGATTACCGTATGAGCAAACACTGTTAGGGAATGATAACAATACAGAAAATACTGACGAAGAAGATAATTAGTGAGTTAAATCTTAAACCGAAAACTTAAGTAAGATATTTTGTATAGATGACTAGATGTGGATAAGACTGATTCAATAATAATCAAAGGTGTTAAATTTTGTTTTTGCTATATGATTATCAAAAAATTAAGAAGTAATCATGTTTTTGTAATTTTATGTTACGTTAATTTGATTATCTGATCTGAATTAGTTAAGGCGTTTTAATATTAATAAGAAAAAAAGCGTTTTGGTTTTGGTTATTTTTTGTTAATTATTACAGTATTTTTTATATATTATGAGAGGTAATTAATTTTTTATAGTGTCATCCTCTTTTTGTTCTTAGCACGAATTTTATTTAAAAATAAACAAACTTATATATTAAAATAAGTGTTTATTTTAATACAGCAGGTACGGTAAGTATTTTATATAATTATATTAAGTAACCTGATAGTTTTATCGAGCAATGTAAATAATGATACAGCATTTATAATATTTTGAAATAACCTAATGGCGATTGTTGCATTAATATTTCCAAGGAAAAGGGTTATAATATACCTTAGGGCCCATGTTGGGTGCTTTTTAGTGGCAATATAACGGAGAATAAGGAATTAAGGGGTATAACTATTCAAAAAATCATTATTATTACCAATAAAATTACTCAGGCCAACTACAAGATGCAAAAACTACATAGTGGCCCACCCTCGCTTCACTTCGGTGTAGAACTGTAGTGTAGACTATAGTTTTTGTTCTCCTGAAAAGTTGCTGTTTTGCAATAACGCCCCTTTTCGTGGGATACGACGATATAAGGGAGTCTTTTTTTCCATATCTTTGATATAAATTTTACAATCGATTTCATGCGTCATTGTGCATGCATAGGTACATCACTCTCGCGGACGCGCACTAAAGTCCGCCGTGTGCGTTGCCGCCTCTTATCACATAATATGTGACAAGAGACAATATAACATAATATGTGACATATTATGTTCTATTTTTTTCGAGGAGTCTCGCGTACTTTTATCCTGTCAGGTCCCTCGGTGTCCGCGGTAGTTCGGGGGACTTTTTGTCCGCGGTATTTTTAATCCATCGTGTACGTTACTCGATGCAGTTCTAAACAATCTATTACCGCGGAAAAAAGGCTCTGGGGACAAAAGTCCCTCCTCTGCGCAGGCTATAAATAAGAACCGACTTCATAGAAACAAAACCAATGAATAAAACTAACAATTGAAAAATAATAGATATTCTTATAAAGACAAATTAACATTTGGTGTCGGTGCCATGCCAACCTAGAGTAGCATGTATGGCACCGATACCAAATATTAATTTGCATGAAGTCGGTTTTTATTATTGTTAAAATGTTTTTTATTTTTCATTTTTTATAAGCCCGAGCAATATTGTCTAAATCCTTATGAAAGTCGACTGTCGACGTAACAACCCCCCCCCCCCCCCCCCTCTTACTCCACTTCCTGATTATTGGTTACCCATCGACTACATGGATAAAAAAGCAATATTATTTATTACAACTGCAACTGCTCTACTATGATCAACATAACAAAAAAAACATACTCGTACTTATGAATTGAGAAGCTCCTATTTGAAGTCGGTTAAAAGAGGTGGCAAATAAGCATGAAGCCCGCCTGACGGTAAGCGGCCGCCATATCATACAGACGCTTACGATACCAGGATCACTCGTGCCGTTGTTGCCTACCCTGACCCTTTACCCAATTCTTTAGAGCCCTGGACCCTTACTCATAGGGAACTTCATTACGAGTGGAAAATTGGCTAAAGCGGAATGTATAATTTATAAATGCATTAATGTAAAATATTTTTATTTAAAATAAATAAATATAAATTATGTATTTACATGGAATTTTATTAAAAGAGTTATTATTATATTGTAGGTTTAAATTATATATGTAGCAATACTATTGAAGTTTGTGCGTCTCGTCAATTAATAAATAATTTAATGGAAGCCCTTCTGTTAATGCCCAAACTGCTGGGGCAAGAGTCTCCTATATACGTAATTGGGAAAACGTCAGGATATACCACGTGCTTTTTGAAGTACAAGTAAGTGCTTACTGTAGTACTTGTATCGAGATAATAAATTTTTGGTCACCCATTCTATGAACAGCCATTGAAAAAGATGCTTAACTTCCACGATCCCAAATCAAATGCGCCTACCACGACTTACCATGTAATTCTCTTTTAAAAATTTAATAACGTAAATTTAAAATTGCGATAAACAATTTTGAAATACTGCATATATGACTGATTTTTATTTAATTAATCACATATTCTAGAACTTTTGTTGTTCTGCTGCCCCGTAAGGATTTAAGCCTGATGCTACATAAGTACGAGATTTAATATTAACATAGTAATGTTTACTTGAATTTCAGATTAGCCAAGTTTGTGGACAAGTTTGGAGCTCGACCATCTGGTACCGATACATTGGAGCAATCTATAGATTACATGATTCAATTAACTCACGATGAAGGTTTTGAAGATATCACGACTGAAGAATTAGAGGTACCTATATTAATTTTTATAATTTCAAAGCATAGTTCTCCTAAAAAATGGTTTTGGTATCATATTGAAAACACACTATTTTTGCAGGTACCACATTGGACTAGGGGTCAAGAAGAAGTGACTATGTTGGAACCAAGGATTAAAAATATGGCAGTTTTAGGTCTAGGTAGAAGTATTAGCACCGCAACCGAAGGAATAACGGCTCAAGTGGTAGTTGTGAAAAATTTTGATCAGTTAGATACTTTCTCCGACAAAGACATTGAAGGAAAAATAGTATTATATGATCCAATTTTCACATCATACGGTGAAACAGTTCAGTACAGATCCCTTGGTGCTACTAGGGCAGCCGCTAAAGGTGCACTGGCATCTTTGGTAAGATCAATCACTCCCTTTTCAATAAATTCACCTCATACTGGGAGTCAGAATTATGGTGAAAATGTTACGAAAATTCCAACAGCAGCTATCACCCTCGAAGATGCTGATTTAATACGAAGGTTATATGATAAAGGAGAAAAAGTAGTATTGAACATTAAAATGTTTTCCACATATGATACTCAAATATCTAGGAATACATTAATCGACTATAAAGGTACAGAAAATCCAGAAAAACTAGTAATAGTTTCAGGTCACATTGATAGCTGGGACGTCGGACAGGGCGCTATGGATGATGGTGGTGGTTTATTCATTAGTTGGGCAGTCCCTGTAATTCTCAAGCGATTGAATTTAAAACCAAAGAGAACTATTCGCTCTATATTTTGGACTGCTGAAGAATTAGGTCTCGTTGGGGCATATGCATATGAAGAAAAACACAGGAATGAAAGTCATAATATAAATTTTATTATGGAATCTGACGAAGGGACATTTGCCCCTCTTGGTCTTGCAGTTGCCGGTAACAAAGAAGCTAGATGTATCGTAGCGGAAATATTGAAATTATTTACATCTATTAACGCTTCCACTTTAGTCGAAGACGATAGTCCTGGATCCGACATATCTGTCATAATTAAAACTGGTGTACCGGGTGCAAGCCTTCATAATGACAATGGTAAATATTTCTGGTTCCACCATACTGAAGGAGATATGATGAATGTTGAAGATGAGCATGAACTAGACTTAGGAGCTGCTTTCTGGACTGCTGTTGCTTATATCATCGCCGATATTTCAACAGACATACCACGATAATCATTATTTCATGCATCATCATTGTTACTTGGCAGCGACGGCCGTGTTGCTCTATGTGGTTACAAAATAAATTGACAATTCACGGTCTTGTCCCTTCTTTTATTGTTTTACCTTGTCTTTTATACAATAAATTAGTCACAAATATTGTTTCTCATTGTGTGTGTGACGTGAATATTATTATTTAATACCTACATTATACTCATGGCAAAGATAACATATTAATAATAATTTATTATATATTAACCAGTCAATCTAAATAAAATTATATTTTGTTATAATTGTAGTTCTATTTTATGGTCTTAAGTCTTCTTTATTATACTAAATTATTGACTAATATTAATCCAATTCAAATAAATTATATAAAACTTGCTTTTCCAACACAAACTGTGGAATAATTGAAATACCTATAAAATACCTACGTTATTAATATTGTGTTACGCGTGTTTTGCCTGGCTTTAATCAAGCTCATAGGTAAGTAACAGTATTCAAAGATTATTTTCAGTTAATTTGTATCCTATTCTACTGTTATTTTGTTCCAAATAAAATAAAACTTAATTAAAACAATATACCTATATAATCAAAAGAAACTTTGTTAATTTTGATATCAATGTCCCTATAACGTGTGACCCTGAACAATTTCATCTTTATTTGAATTCCCCGAATTGTTTGAAAGTTTTCACCTTAACTTCCTTAGTTTGAACTTTAATATTGATAATTCTTGTACACTCCTTGCACAGCAAGGTTGAATAAAACTCTGCACTCCTTATTAGTGCAGTCATTGAAGCGAAAAATACGGTCTTACCTCCGAATTTTTTTACTGTGAACCGATTTGCATGAAATTTTGGAATTAGGTTCATCTTACCCTTAACTTCAAAAGTAAAAATGATCTGAACTCCGCCTATTATTTTTAAGGGATGTAAACAACCCCTTAATGGAAAAATTTACATTGAGCCATTTTATCGCTAGAAATCATGTCTAATAGTAAGTGATGAAATTGTAAAGTATTTTCTAACATAATTACCTCATATTAAAATCATTTTTAACCCATATATATATATATATATATATATATATATATATATATATATATATTACATATTTAAAAATAATTTAATTTAGAGTAAAAAATTGCCATTTATTGAATAAAATATTTACTAATTATATAAAATTGTACTATTATTATTAAAATATAATATTATTATTCATGACTCAATGTAGGAGTCGCTGTCACATTCAACATCTTCTGGCTGAATTGGAGGGCTATTTTTGGATGAATGATGATGATGATGAAATGATGAAATGTGTTATATATACATACATATAAGAACGTTGGTATGTATTCATGCCTACGTTTCCAAAATATATGAGCCATATTATGTATATATATATACATTACAATAGTTGTGGGTCTCTATTATACTGCGGACTTTGGACCATAACTCCTTCAATTTTCATGCTATCACAATTTATGTAACACCATTGTAAAGTTAATTAAGAGAGCTACAACATCCTTCATTGCAATATATATTAAAAAACTTTTATACGTATCTGTCGTCATTTTTGAGATATTATGAAAAAAAAGAGGGTTTTTTAAAAATTTGAAATTTTGGTTTTTCTTTTAATCGTGACTTTTTTGAAAAATATGTATCCTGAAGCAGCCAAACTGATACTATCTATTAAACTCTTCATAATAAAGTTAACTCTAGGCGGAATACGATTAATTTTAATTTTGGTGGAAATAGCACTTATGAAACCCATTGATTTAAAAGAAAAAACATTAGATGCTCCCCTTATTTGCAATACAGCTCGCTTATTTTACGTGCAAAAGACTTTTAATAGTACTCATTTTAAAGCTTATTTCAAGCACTATAAAACCCTTTTGTATTAGAATGCATAAAATGCATCTGCTCGCCGCTAGATGGCATTGACCACATCGATTAAATTTCAGACAAAATAAAAAACGGCTTTGATCTTTAATATCTAGCTTAATATTGCACTTAGAATACTTTATAAAAAACGAAATTGTTCATTGTTTTACCTGCTACAATTTTGTATTTATAAATTTTCGATAAAACTTATATTTTTGGAGAAATTTGCAAAAAACCGATGAAAAACGAAAAAAAAAAATCGAATTTTCAATTGCCAATAACTTGAAAAGTATTTCAATTTTTTGAAGAACTTATAGTTGATTTTTTGCTTAGAATTAGGCTTTCTATCGATATCTGAGGTTATTTTGAAAAAGAAAAATTCACCCCCGAGAAGGGTGGCAACCACCCCCAGGGTAGTTGCGGAGTTCAAATAATTTTCACTTTTGAAGTTAAGGGTAAGATCACAGAATACAGAAAGAGGTTAGAAGGGTGATAAGCGATCGCCAGTATGAGAACCGATGTCGCTGTCTCGTCCCCACTACACTTCCACCTAATAGATAATAAGCCAATCAAACGACGCGACATCAAGCAACCGAACGAACTAGCGCTCACAGCTGTGATTTTAGCGTTTGTGGTTGACACGAGTCGATGAAATATTATCGATATTAAATATGCCAAGTACGAGTTGGACTTGACTTGATTGTATGAAATTTTATGTATCCTGTCAAAGTCAGTAAAGATAAAGAAAACGATTTAATGTAAAACGCATTACTACAGATAGTTATTTATTGACCTTGAAAAAAAATATATTTATGAAAAAGGTGACCCTTTTTTTTTAAAGATATTTTTCAAAAGAAATATAGACGTTTATCTATATATTTTTCAATTACCACTTTAATTGAATCTGTTACGTGGTTAGATAATGGGAATTCACCGACTTGATGAAATGATATGTCATCAAATTATGAAGTGCCAATAAACTTTTTTTTATATTTATGCGACTAAAACTTCTTTTTTGAAATTCTTCGAATAATCTGCATGTTGTCGTAGTACACAGTTTCTGCACTTTTGCATATTTTTATAACATCACCAAGGACGGATATATCAGGCCACCTTTTATTTTAACGAAATTTTTATGTAAATTATTACTATTACTTGAATCTGATATTAGGGCTCCAGGGCAAATATTGCATTTGATTTTTTTTAATTAGGACATGAATCACATTGCCTGCTATGTAGGCAATGACTTGTATACTGAAATTAGTAAAATCTTCATCCTCTTCGTTTTCAGATGGCTCTTTACATGCTCTTTCTACTGACTGTGTGGACAAGTTAATTCTCTCTATAGTCCAGTCAAAATAGACAAAAATAAGTCATAACTTAGAGATAATTCGCATAGAGCTGAAAATTGGCAGAGACGTTAAATACATCATTATAAATAAAATGTCTAAAATCCCCTTCGATCCAACTTCTGAAAAAAATATATTCAAGGTCAAACTTACAAATGGCTTATGGGATTTTCCATTTTTCTCGAAAACGGTAAGTTTTATCGTAAAAACAGGTCTAACAAAAGTTGTAGATCATACAATTCTCTACAAAATGGTCCAGTCACTTTTTCTCTTACGAGTGGTGTGTCGGTATCTCGCTGTTTTAATAATTAGAACATTAATATTTTACATATTGAGTATGACTAGAAAGCTAAGTACCACAATAACTGTTTTAATATCTTTCTGAGGCCTACTATGGGATATGGGATATCAAATCAGCCGATTAGACGTGAGGAAGTAACAATCAGCTTTTATTTATTTCTAAAAGATACTTTAATTCCATTATTAGGTGCTAAAATTCAGTCGATAAAATCTATCCAAAATGTAAAATGTACGACGCAAGACACCACTAAAGTAGGTGCAATGACCCTGTACTGCGTGCTCACACATGCAGCGCTCTGTGATCCACGCGTCATTCTTGATCGCTCGTACTACATTTCGTGTTTTGAATGTCGTAGAAAAAATAGCGAGCGTACTTTGTCAGCAATTAATTTTTTTGTGGAAATATATATGTGATTTATCGTTTAATTAATATTTCTCGATTTTTTGCTAAAATATCAGTCTAACTAAAAGTTTTGTACTTACCGATGACAAAAAATTCCTGCTTTAGGTAGATTTGATGATTGACTCCTTACTTTGCAAGTAATTACTGGTTATACTTAACTTTTGTTAATTAATAATATTAATGTGATGGAAGTTGACATCAACACATGTATTCAATTTTTGATGTCATCTTTCAATTGACGACACTGTGTGAAACAAAACAGGGAGAAAAAAATAGCCCTTGCTGAGTTTCTTGCCGGTTCTTTTCAGTACAAGGTCTCCTGCCGTAGATTTACGAACCGATGGCGTAGCGTTTGAGTTTCACAAGAGCTTGTAACAGCCTAGACTGAATAAATGAGTTTGAATTTGAATTTGAATTACGGCACACGAAGGCATATTTTAAGCGGTAATCACAATACTCTCTCACTAAGCGTTCGTGGGCCACTAAACGACGCGATCGGACGTTACGGTCAACCTATGAGCATTTGCTCATAACCGTGACGCGTCTGCCCCGCCCACAAGGCCATTCTAACCTCTTTCTGTGTTCTGTGGGTAAGATGAACCTAATTCCAAAATTGTATGCAATTCGGTTCAGAGCAAAAAAATTCGGAGCAATAATGCTTCAATACTGCACTATATTGCAAACACAGTACTTGCAAATGGTGGTTTGGAGGTAAACGCGATAAATATATTTCTTGATATCTAATTAAGAATTTTATTTTATATAGCTTTTAAAGTGTCACCTGAAAAATAGTAAAAATATCGAGCTTTCTATTGACATATTTTGATAAAATTCTCAGTACTGCACTTTTATCAAGTTCTGAGCTTGTATGCATAACAGTATCAGTAAGACTACCTGCAGTAATTGTGTTTATTACTGCAAAATCACCTAGCACGTGCTCAATACTGCGTTTGTAGTGAGCAATCATTTTGTTATTCTCACTATACAGTAATGGCGAATCACGGAGCACCCCCACTAGAGTCCGCATACAAGGGCAAGCGCTTACGTTACGCCAAGCTTAAGTAGTATTTTACCTATGCGTGAGGCACGCCTACAGACGTCGCGATACATCGTTTCATTCGGTAACCGAGTGTTGGTCGAACTGCTTCTCTCGTTTTCGTGTTAAAAAACTGTAAAAAATGCCGTACTGTGCAATTAAATTGTGTGGAAAGTCGAGTACAACTTCCAGTCTTAAAAAAATGGTATTACTTTTCACTGGTTAGTTTAAATGCATTACAAAAAGACAAAAATACTGTTATATTAAATTGGTGTTAATTGTATTTATTTTTTGGTG